TCGCCATCGACTTCGTCCGCTCACAGCGACTGACCCACGAGCCGGTGAGGGCGCGCCGTGCTATCTTTACTTGACTCGCGTGGTCTACCGGAAGGGATCTGTGGCTAACCCGGTGAGGTGGCGTTGAAGGTCGGCATGACTAGTTCAACTGTGTACTGGGTAGATAGGTATGGTAACACGTTTGCGCTGGGCTAGGCTCGAAAACCGATATTTCAACCTCCCGACTCCTAACAGATCGTTCTGCGACAATCGCGTGATAGCCAAACATATCGCTGGAGGGTGAACGAAAGACCTTTTTTGATGGATTCCTTAGGACGCCATCGCGGTCCATCCTCAAGTCCTAAGGAGAAGCAAGCGTTAATAACTCTTCTCGTTCCTGGGGCCAATGACTTTGCAGGTAACCATCTGCACACAGCATCGGCGCTCAAAGCCCGGGGATACAGACCTGACACAAATCGGCGACCACCTGCGGGTAATGTCAGACGCGGGTCGCCTTCAGTTACGACAATGTTCTCATTAACGGTTGGCGACATGACCCTCCCGCCGTTACCGATGTGCACGGGGGTGGTTTCAGGGCGCACCACATCCCGCCCGCGAACCCGAAAAGATGGATCGATACATGGGGTTGTGTTCCTTGCCGCTCTTGTGTTCAACCTTCCAAGAAGAAGACGAAGTTCACACTTATCATGCACCCGCGACCCGCAACTGATGAACTGAGACGCACCTCGGTGAGAGAAAAAAGGTTGTGTCGCCCAATCACCCGCCTCATTCTCCGGCTTTCGAGAAGGAGGGGAGAAAATAGTTGAGGAATGCAAACTTTGAGGTCCTGTCGTCCTGAGTACAAGACAAGGAGTCGCATAGTGGCGGTTCATTCCCTTCTCGGTGTTCCCACGTCCAAGGTCACAGTGTTGCACCGCCTCCCCTGGGCTGTGATCTTTTTTTGGATTTTACCTTTTCTCCCCTCCCTCCCACGAGTTCACAAAAGCGGGGAACTGTTTACCGAAATACGGTAAGTTACCGGCAACTTCCAATAGTGATGCGAATATCTCGGTCTCCTGCGGTACAGTACACCCAGTTACACGTGCCCCGCACTCGTGGAAAGAAATCAGGGACGGAGGGCGGGCACGAGGCATCTGCCGGCACAGCCACGCCCGGTTTGGCGCGCCCGCTCTCCGTCAAGAGCCGAGTTTGGCGCCCATGGCGATCCTTACGTGCTAGGACAGCACCGAGGGACGGGAACTTTCCTCCTTCTGCCAAGTTCGGCTCACTTGTTCGAGAAACATGTCTCAATGCAAACAAGGCAAGACGATTGGGAAACAGATCGAGGACTGCAAGTGCATCGGTGAGACCCATTTCTCTCAAGCGACAGACATGCTCACCGCTTCCATCACTTTGCTCATCGATGCGGGGGCTACACGCCAACGACAGAAACCCACATCTCTTGTCCTCGTCATGAAGTCTCTTCTTCCACGTGGAGGAGCCTTGAGGGATGATCATCGGGGTTACTAGTGTAGTGTACACAACACTGCTCTGTATCATTGATGGGAGATGCTCTTTGCAAATTCTGGATTCTTGTCGCTTGAGAACCCATCTGCCGGGCTGGGACCGGGGTACCGTGCCACCGGAAGTATGGCCCGTCGGGTGCCTCTGGAATTTGTGTGTGCGCTACACTGATAACTACGTGATGAATTCAGATCCTCAATATCACTTGGAGGAAAAAACGAAAATCACCTGGCCAAATCGAAAAGAGGCAAATCTCCATCGTTAGTATTCCGACAGGCGAAGTGCTGACCTATCTCAGATTTCCAACTTGTTGAATGATGAGTTGCATTGAGATCTCGGTTCGCATTCCCCTTCCCCCACTCTTCGACGTTGTGGTTTTTGTTTTTTTTTTCTCGCCCCTTTTCTGCTCGTTTCGCCTGCCGGCTCGCGTCCGCGGAATCGCTTGATCCTCTTGAACAAGGGAGGGATGGCCTGCGGAGTTTGAGGACTGTTCTGCGCGGAAAAAGCTTGGTCAATCTCGCGCAAGAATCGTGTGGACCACTCGTTGGTCCTGTCTCACCCCACACTCAAACTCTGCGGCCACTGGTCGGCACCGAAAGCCGCTCTCGCTCAGAGGGAAAGAGCGATGAAGCAGGAAACCCCACGTGCACAAAGTTCCCTTCTCCATTTCCCGTCATTACAGGAGTCGGCACTGAATGGACGAAATACGACGGGCAACGCGGTAATGGAGGCCTGGGGACCGCGGCCTGCCCTTTGCCCTCTCCTGCTCTCTCTTCCTTTCTGCGGCTTACGATTTTGGACAACTCGTCGGGCTTCGCTCGTCGTCCAAATATTGAATCACAAGTGTACGCCCGTAATCGTGTCGACAAGCGTGTGTCGTCCGACAGAACTGGCGCGCCCGCTGCCAAGAAGGGTCGGAGAAGTGTGATGCACACCACAAGCCACGATCTCCACTGTTTCGTTTTGTTTTTCGTCGTCGGGAGGGCGGGATGAGGGTGGGATGGGAGGGTTGTCCCGATGCGGACAGGGTAAGGCTGTGCCTCTGCATGCTGATCACCCCGACGCGTGGTTCTCCGATCCCATTGGTCCCCGGAGTCGGTGTCGAAGCCACGCAGCTTCTTTCGATGAGGAAATCTGGTAGTGCAGGTTCAGGAACCGGGCACGGCGAGCCGCAGCCTTAATCATCACCCGCAAGGTCGGGAATGCGCAGCAGCGAGGACTGCATTCAATTGCAGAAGTCGAAATTTTAAAAATATCTCTGGGAAAATCTGGCACGCAATGATGCAACTACGATACGGCCTCTGCGATCCTGGCTTGAGCCTCCCCAATCCCACCATACCACGGGCAGTAGGTACCGAGAACACAGTAGCAGAAACTACGGCATTTCACCACAAGACCTAGAACACAGCATCCCCAGGCCGACCCGGCGACTTGATTTGCCATGGTGCTATCCGTAGAAAGGCCGCACACGCTGTAATCTCGGTGGGGCAGTCGAGGCGCCATGGTCGTGCCTGGCCATGGCAATCTCCCCGCAGAACCTTTGTCCGGGACGGGCGTCCCTCCTCTTCTCCCTCTGGGCACCCCGCACCGAGGGCTTACACTTTGATGCCGGCAGCATTGTTTTACATTCTAGTGGATAGTTGGAGCTTGTTTTTACATAGTGCAGTGTAATGTTGAAGTGGAGCAGCTGGGAGATGATACCCGTTGTGCTCCGTGCGAATTAGAAGTGAATTAACCCTCGATTCGCGACCAGCAGGCTGCATCGGGGAATCGAAGCCGCCGTCTCGCCGTCCTTGAACGGTTCCCCGAGGCTAGGGGGGAAGAAGCAACAGATACAAGAGGTGCAAAAACAAAGCTGCAGAAAACTCGGACGAGCCGATGTGGCTCCCATGGTAAAGTTAAAACCCCTCAAAGTGTCAGGACACTACACGTAAATGACTGCCCCTCCTTCTATCCTCGAGAGTCGCTCGCCGCGCAACCCCTTCTTCCCCAGAATGAGCGAGGAGTGGCCTCAACTCCGTAACGTCAATAAGTTTAAGCCGCATAGCAACTTGGCAAGGGCGGGAGCGACCTAGGCGTTTGGTCCAGATTTTTGGTGTCAAATGATGGGGCATGGCGAGAAATGGCGGCCCACCCAGGCAGTGAGGAACTGTGTGAGTGGTAGGATGTGGGGGACGTCGAGGTGGACATGACATAGGTAGCGGGATGGAAGCATTGCGTTTCGGACGGTCGGCGATGCGTCCATGGACATAGCTGCCCATTGGGGGCGCCGTCCCCTCGAGAGATCGTTTGGCTCCTCCCGTCGTCGACACCAGGGAGGCCCAAATGGCCGTTCCACCTACTAGTTCGTGAAGACCATTTTTTCCCGGTCCACACACACACACAAGCAGCACCTCACGCACGCACCAAGCCTTCGATATGTCTCCGCCCACTCGCTCACCCCTGTCGGATCTCTCGCTCACACCAACCACAGGCCCGGATGGCAGGTGGTGGGCTGGCCCGTGGGCGCAGGACTTGCAGGACCCTCATCGTCCAAAGAGGGCGCCCATGTACCCGTGGACGTCTGGACCGGGTCACATCCCAACTACCCCCCTGTCCACCCGACCCAAGCCCAAAACGCAAACGCAGCCCCATGTCACCCAAAGTCTTGAGGTAACCCCCTGTACCGCCCCCCTGCCCTGTGGCCCCCCTGTCGACCTCTGATGTCTCCACGCATGCAATGTGAAGACTGAGCCTCGCTGGACGCCGTGAATGGGGGAGCCCAACTGGGGGGACTTACTCGGGGGAGATCATCGACCTCCACTAGGTTCGGGTCGACGCGACCGGTTGCCAGGGGGGTATATAGAAACATCACCCCCCAAAAGCAGGTCCGTTCATCTCGCACTCTCTCGCCCAGCACTGAGCATTCCTCATCACCGCACCTTGGTTGCCAACACCCTCACATCGGGTTGGTTCGACGGTCGCTACAAGGGCTTTTACCTCCGTCTAAGAGTCTGTCGATTTTCCAGATTCTTCTCCGTTCCTCCCACCTCGGACGCCCGAGACTTTTCCGCCGATCAAATCTCTTCCTGGCGCAAGGAAGGATTTGAAACAAACCACAAGGGAAAACACAAGCACAAGAAACACAGATCAAAAACAAAAGGTTCAGATCGAGGATTGGATTGGGCGATCAGGGAACCTTCTTCGCCCTCGCGATCCAACAAATACCCCCAAGATTCGCCGACAAGCACAGGGCGCAAGTTTTCCGAGCTGCACCAACGACTACCGCATCAACGACCCTTTGGTATGTGCGTGTAGGAAGGTTAGTAACCCCGAGACACCTCGCAATTGGTACGATCGATCGAACTTGGCTGTGGCTAACGCGCATGCTTTTGCCCTCATAGCCTGAGGTCGCGGCTTTCTCAAAACATCCGCGGAGAACGCCAGCAAGGTCGGCCCTTTCTTCACCTTCGTTTCCACCCTGACCAAGCCCGCGTCTTGCATTCCTCTTCGCACACATGGCCGCCCAAAGCCACTACGATAGCGAGGACTTCAGTATGACCTACCCCGAGCCACCCCATTACTCGACAGCGACAATGGATCTGGGGCTCTCGCCTGAGCCATATAGCGCGTACCCGCGGGCCGCACACGAGTACCCGGCTACGATGGGGTACGACAACGGCCCTGTATATGCCGAAGCACCATACATGTACAGCGGCAGCGGGCGGGCATCGCCGGGCGCCTATCCCGAGGACGGCGATGCTGCGCGCGGCCCCGCCTCCGATCTGAGCGCTTCCTCGTCCACCATGGGTTCACCGCTGTCCAGCCACGGCCAGATGGCGCCGATCTCCGAGTGGGCCTCCGCACCCCATGGACTAGGTGTGACGCCTGGCATCGTCGACCAGGCCGACTACTTTCCTGGAGGCGAGTACTCGTTCACGCCGGGAGCGATTGACGCCTTCCAGCAAGCACCCTACGACTTTCCTACCAACAAAGCCCCTGGATTCGTTGGTGAGTTATCACAGATCCCTAGGTCTTCTCCTCTTTCTTCTTCTTCACGCCCGTCTAGCCACGGCCAAGACGACCATCGTGGCTCCGTGTCTTCTCCCTTTTCCGTCCCCGTATCTCGCGATATCGGGTTCGCTCTGCCTCCCAAGCCTTGCAGCCCTGGTCTGGCGCTCGATACGCGCCTAGCCCAGCGGGCATCTATGTCTGCTGTCTCCATGGCATCCACTTCAACGACTTCGGCGGCAACTTCTGGCCACCTCTTGACACCTCCTACAACCTCTGCGGCGACCTCGTCTTCTTCTCCTTCTTTTCCCTCACGCGCGGTCTGGAACAGCCCGCCTGTGGGTTGTGGCTCGCCGGCCCGCCCAAGCACTTCCAGCTCTTCGCGCGTGGTTTCTTCTTTCTTTTCTCAGTCAAGCGGGCATTTCGTTCCTCCTCTCGAGTCTTGTTGGTTTCCTCAGTCGCAGTGCAAGTTTTTTTCACCGCTTGGCCGGCTTGCTAATGTGGATTTTCCGCGTGCAGACCCATCCTTGATCCACCCAGACGTACGGCCCATGGCGATGCCGTACGAACCATCCTACCCGGCGCCGCCCAACTCTGGTTATCCCGCGTCGCCCTCCCTCTCGGTGTCTGCTTCGCCCCAGCTCCGACCCAGCAGCGCTTCCCCTTTTGTCCACAACAACGGCTACCAGTCTTATTCGCCCTTCCAGCCGCCTGTCGACCCCCAACGACGCGTGAGCCTTGTGTCGTACCAATCCAATTTCTCCGGAGAGCACCCCTACAGTGGGGATGAGTCGCGGGAGAAGCAGCGGTGCCCGCACCCGGATTGCGGCAAGGCATTCAAGGACCTAAAGGCCCACATGCTCACGCACCAAACTGAGCGGCCCGAGAAGTGCCCTATCACGACGTGCGAATACCACGTGAAAGGCTTTGCGAGGAAGTGAGTGTTTCTTGGCTGGCTCCTCCTAGTGTTTTGCCCACGGAGAACTAACCGACGGTGAACAGGTACGACAAGAACCGCCACACCTTGACACACTACAAAGGTACGATGGTGTGTGGCTTTTGCCCCGGCTCCGGCTCCGCGGCCGAGAAGTCGTTCAACCGAGCCGATGTTTTCAAGAGGCACTTGACGGCGGTGCACGGCGTGGAGCAGACTCCTCCCAACAGCCGGAAGAAGTCGGCTGGTGCTAGCAACGGAAGCGCGAAGCTTACAGGCTACGCGCCCGATGCAACCGGCAAGTGTTCGACATGCTCGCAGACTTTCGGCAACGCCCAAGACTTCTACGAGCATTTGGACGACTGTGTGCTGCGCATTGTCCAGCAGGAGGACCCGGCCGAAGCCATCAACGCCCAGCGGCTAGCCGAGGTCGAAAACGACCGAGATGTCCACAACACTCTCGAGAAGAACCACCTCCCGACGACCACTATGACTACCACTACCGAGGATGCCGACGAGGAAGACGACAACATGGACGACGACGAATACGACGACGAATCCAAGTCGGGCGGTCGTGTTGGCAAAGGGTCGCTCTCCTCACCAAGGCGAACGAAGGGCGGCAATCCCGTCAACGGCGTCCAGAAGTCGCGCGGGCTCACTCACTCGCGCGGCGGTGTCCCGCTTCAGACCAAGACTCGCGGTCGCAAGAACAGGCGCGACTACCCTTCGTCGTGGGGCTTCGATAAGGGACAGATGACCATGAAGAAGCGGGTCCTTGCGGTATTTGACGGCCCGAGGCGCCTCGCCAAGGACGACATGATGCTGTCGACTGAGCAGGAGGTGCGCATCAAGCTCCAGGATGGCAAGTCGTACGTTACCGACCTTGACCTGCAAACCCTTAAGCGTGCCGAGGGTTTCCTAGGCGCCACCGACGAAGAGAAAGGCCCTTGGGTCTCGGACGACCCGACCGAGGAGCAGATCAAAGAGATGCTTGAATTCAGCACCTCTGAGACACCCGCTGCCACAGCCTAAAACAGGTAACCCTGTTTCCAGGGCGAGGGGAAAAGTGAAACAAAAAAGAAGAAAAAAACAACCCAAAAAAAAACTCAACGCCGCGGTTTTTGATACCCAAACACACACACCGCCATGAATCACTGTATACCCGCCACACCCACATGTGAACATACTTTCACATCTGTACTTTATTAATACCTTTCTTGTCTTGTTTTTTTCTGGAGCCTTTCCTTTCCGGCGAACCACATTGGACACGGGCCGGACCGTATCGAAACCAAAGAGCCGAATACACCAGCGGAACAGGGCCTTACGATGCTTGCTACCAATCATTTTCTTTCGACGACGTGCCGGGGGGTTGGCTGAGGACGATTATGTATTACGGGTTGTAATTCCCGCTCCCCCTCCCCCGCAACATGTCTTATTCTTTCTTTTCTATACGTTTCCTATTTACCCGTCTCACTCAGATTTGGGAATGGATGGGGGCGGGGGACGGGACGGATCTAATAATGACTGAATGACTTTGGGTTGGACATGGTTCTTGTTTTTTTATATCTTCTTACTGCTTGGGGGTGGCAAAGGGATTGAAAATGGATAGGATACAGGCGAGGAGCGCTTCTGTTTAAAACATACATCATCACCATTATTGTTCGTATTCAATGCTTTCTCCTGTTCACTTTACGAGTGTTTCTTTGCATTTGTTCTGGATTTATCATATACCTCATCTCGCTTGCTCGTGGTGTTCTTCATCCTTTACTCAGCCGTCAATTAGGATACCCTGTCTCATTTCTAAGTCACTACGCACTGCACCTACTTTGTGTATATTCCTTTTTTTGTAGGTATTTTATAATTAATACGGACATTTTCCATCATGAATAGCGAAATATGACGCATGCCCCGATAAGCTCTCGAGCATTTTCAATCTCATCTCAGACCCATAGAGTTCTTGTCATGAATTGAATGACTCCCCACGATTCTCTGCAAACAACGGCGAGCTAAGCTATGGAGAAAACAATAGAGGAAAACGACGCGGTGACCTAATATAAACAAGTTCCGGAGGTGTTAACTGTTGCACTTTGCTTAACACCATGCTTGGGTTATGCCCACTGCTTTGTCGCCAGCCTACCTACCTAGGTAGCAGAGAGGGGCAGTTACACCCCGCAAAGGTGCATTAGTTAAATGCATAGGAGTTGGGTCGTCTTCCACAACGCCTACTTTTCACGATATTTTGCTTTCTACCTACATAGGTATTATCCAACCCACGCCTAGCTGGTCCCATACTACCAACACTCGTTAACTTTTATAGAGTTTTGGACGAGCGTACCGAGCATTTGTCGACCTTAGCGCGGACATTTCGAGTCAATTTCCCTGTTTTGGAACACCTCCAGAGGAAGGGGACAGAAGGGAAGCGAGTGAGCCATGGACTTGACGGCCCGTATCTCCCTCGCCGGCCCGGGTGGCACTGATCCGGAGGACTTCTTCAGCGCCGCTCTCGGCGTCATCTTCCCCGATGATATCGCCAACTGCCACGGTGATTCCAACCACCTTAATTTGGTGTACAAATCGCCACATCTCCCCAACGCCATCCGGCTCGTCCTGCCCGAGCTGGCAGGCCAAGAGGCCCAGGCCCTGTTCAGCCACTACCTCTGGAACGCATCGCTACTCCTCGCGGAACTCATCGAAGCCGGGTCATTGGGAACCCAAATTCAATGGAATAGCCAAATCGCGCCACCTGTAGCGGAGTTTGATATTTCGGGCCTAAGCACGATCGAACTTGGTGCGGGCACAGGGCTGCCGTCCATTATGTCGGGTCTACTGGGCGCGAGAAGGGTAGTGGTGACTGACTACCCGGCTCCACCTGTTATCAATACTTTAAAGCTCAACGCCAACGCGGGTCTCAAAGCCGAGTCTGCTCCATCTGGGCGATTCGCGGTAGAGGAAGTTGTGGTAGAGGGGCATACATGGGGGGAGCTAGACACCACATTCGCGGTACAGAATAAACACAAATTTGATCGGGTGTTTGCCGCGGACTGTTTGTGGATAGTGGGACAGCATGAGCAACTCACGCAGTCGATCGCCTGGTTCCTTGCGGAGGGAGAGAGTGCGAGGGCGTGGCTAATCGCGGGGTTTCACACACCGCGGGGTGAGGCGAATTTGTTTTTTCGCAGTGAAATGTTGGCGGAGGTTGGGCTTGAAGTGGAGCATCTATGGGAAAGGGAGTGTAGCGGAGAAGACCGAGAATGGGTTTGGGATCGGGGGGTCGGGAATACGGCCGTCCAGAAGCGGTGGTCAGCAGTTGGGGTATTGAGGAGGATTTGTGGACACCCAGTCTGACGCAAGGGTGAGGGCGCCGTGTAAGCGAGTGGTGCTTGGAAGGTGAATTTCTCCAAGCTTGCTCAACTGAGGTTGTGGATGCTTGCGTACTGAGCGATATGGAGGCTTAGAATAGTCTAGGTTTCCGTGCTGTATTCATGATAGAAGGGTGTAGTTCACCAACGTCGATGAGAGATCCGTAGCATCCCGTCATGACTGGGAGAAGCACTACAAGAACTGTATTGTAAGGCATGTTACCACCGGAGATCTGGGGGGGGGGGGGTTGCTCGCTGTGTCGGTTTAGTTGAGAAAGAGCAAACATATATTAAGTGTGCTTTGGGAGGCGAAGAATGAAGATACACGTTGTTTAGCCGCTGAAGTGTGGGGGATTAAGATTAAAAACCAACACATGAGAAGCCCCTTTCTATTAGTAGGTAGTTACCAAGTTAATGGGATGAAATTTAAGACACAAAATTACAAAAATAACAACAAAGTGAGAAGAACGTGAAATGGGGATGGAAGGCCGAGAATGATGGGACTTGGCTCAAGCTTGAGCTAGGGGTTGTCGGGTGCTTCATTTCTGCACCGCCACATTTAAGTGTGGCTAATTACCCCACATGCTGCGTCATCTGCTTGTGCTCGCTCAACTCCCGCGACTTCCATAACGTGGCAACAAGTGACCGCTGCGGGTTGTGTGAGAGCGAGGCAGACCACCATTTTCCAACGCCGCATTCCTCTTGCAACAACCCATTGCCGTTGCTTCCGGCACAATGGCCACCTGACCGCGCTCATATCACCATATCTTTCTTTTTCTTTTCTTGTTTGCGTTTCCGTTAGACTTCCCATTACAACTCACCCATGAAAATGCGCGTCGCGTGGTACGCAGGAGTAAGTCTTCCATTCCGCTGGAGCTGCTGTTAGCTGCGACTCAACTTCCCTTCTCGCCGCGCCCCTTGTCCACCCAGCCGGCCGGGCCCGGAAAACTGCCTCAACTTGTCCCTTTGTCGCGCACAACACCAGAAAACCATGATTGGAAGTTAACATGGCTATCTTAGGCCTCGACGGCTCTTGCGGCCGCTGTGGTAGCAGCCGCATTTTACCAGCGTGCCAACTTTTACTCTGCCATGGTACATCTAGCACAGAGCAGCCTCTCATTGATGGTATGTGGGCGCCTTCCTTGCATGATGTGGGAATACTCTTTGTTGCTGTAGGGGTCACTCACATGACGTCGCAGGTCTTGGTCAACTTAATATTCGTTGTCTACGGCTCATTCATGTACGGCCTGCAGCGACTCTGTTTCGGACCCCTCCGACCCAACGAAATCGAACAACTCTACGAGAAGGCATGGTTTGCGATTACAGAAACCTGTCTGGCCATGACGATATTCCGTGAAGAACTCGGTGCTTTCTTCCTCGTCATGTTCACGGCCCTCGTCACTGGCAAGGTTTGGGGCTGGATCGGGGACGGTCGCGTCGAGGTTCTTGAGCAACAACCCCCAGCAAACCCTCTCCTTTTCCACGCCCGCCTCGGAATCTCGCTCTTTATTAGTGTTGCCTACGACATTTGGCTCCTTACATATGCCGTCAACACGGTAGTGGAAGAAGCTCGCCCCAACATGATGGTCATGTTCCTCTTCGAATTTGCCGTCCTCGCTGTCTGCTCCCTACACACGGTCGCCCGGTACACCATCTCGCTAGTAGAGCAACGTGTTGTCAAGACGCAGACACGCCAACGTTTAGAAGATAGGCGCCGCCGTATCAGGGAACAAAGGGCTGAGATCTTGACGCGCCGAGAGACCGAGGGTTCAACGGATGACAACGAAGAACTGCCGGATGAGAACGACGTTGATGAGATGGATATCGAAGTCCCCGGCTGGGAAGCGAAGGGGCAGTGGGTTTTGTCTCTGGACTTATTTGCCGGTACGTCTCGTGTTGGAATTACCCCCCCCCCCCAGCTCTCGTTCCAGTGTTTCGGGTGTGCTAACAGTCCTTTTGACAGATTTTATCAAGTTCGGCATCTACACTGCCTTCTTCTTTGTTCTCATGAGCTTTTACGGCCTCCCGATTCACATTATGCGCGACTGGTTCATGACGACCCGATCGTTTCTCAAGAGACTCCATGCCCTTATCCGCTATCGCCAAGCTCTCAAACACATGGATCAGTATCCAGACGCCACCGCGGAAGATCTCGGCCGGGAGGATACTTGTATCATTTGCAGAGAGGAGATGCGCCCCTGGGATCCGACCGATTCCTCTCAAGTTGAGCGTAGCCGTGCTAAGAAGCTCCCTTGTGGCCATATCCTGCATTTTGGCTGCCTCAAGAGCTGGCTGGAGCGGCAACAGGTGTGCCCGACTTGCCGCAGCCCGGTTTCTCGAGACGGACAGCAACCCGCGGCTCCCAATCCCGCGGGTGTGCTTGGGCTTTTCCCTGCCAACCAGAATCAACAACCCCAGCCTCAGCCCCCGGGCAACGGCCAAGGGGCTCCCGGTGGGGCTCAGCAAGGACAAGAGGGGGGGGCCGCAGACGGTCAACGAAACAACCAGAACCCGAACATTAGGATGTTTAATCTAGGTCCTCTTCGGCTGGGTTTTGCCCAAGGTGGCGCTGATGAGATTCGGGAGATGGCGCAACGGATGCGGATGCCCCCAGATGCCGCCAATCCTCCGGCGCCAACACCTACCGTTCCGGCCTCGCACGAGAACCATGAGGATCTATCTATGGAAATTAATTCCATCCGGGAACAACTTTATCTTCTGGGTCAACAGGTCCGGCAAGACGTTATCAGCGCGCAAAACACGGCATACGAAGTCCAAGTTCTGAGCCTCCTGCTGAATGAAATAAATCGCCTCCGTGGGTTACCGCATCACCCGCTAGCGGATCACCAAAACCTACAACCGTTCACGGCAGGCGTCGTCCATGCCGGACAGGCACCATTGTTACATTACCAACCAGGGCTAACACAAACTTTCCCTTCGATGCAGCTACCGAGCCAGGGGCCCTCTCTTGTTCCGCACTCCCCTCACTTGATGGCGTCGCGGGCCGTCCCTACCATCACCAGGCATGTGGTGCCGGCTGGGACTGGGTATGGCACCGCCATTCCGGCGGGCAGCGCCGACCTTCCAGAGGGGGTGGTCATCCCACCTGGATGGTCATTACTACCTCTCCAACGATTGGACGGCGAAACGCCAGCGCCGGAGCCAACGCATAATGCCCCAGGACCCACGCAAGACATACTACGATCCCTCTTCACGAGTCACACACGATCGCGAGGTACCAGCCCCGCCCCCGCCAGCGGCCTGTCCTCACAGCTGGGTAGACCAAGTGCACCCACGGTTGGAAACAGTGCGGAACCATCTCGTCGGCCGGGATCACAAGGCGGCCCCACACCAGATCTAGCAGCACGGAGACCGACACCTGTCACTGCACCTACTCCTCGGGTTCCGAATTGGGGAGGCTCTGCGCAGCTTTTTGGCACCGAGCGAGTCGCTGCGCCTGTATTCGGTTACCAGGTTGACCCTTCACTGGGGTCGCGTGAAGAACCCAACAGCACAGCGGCTGTCGCAGCCCCACCGGCGAATGGGGTTACTTCTGAAGAGAGCAGCAGTAGCCAGCAAACGGAGTCAGCCGAGGCGAGTGAAGGGCCGGCCAGCAGAGGGCCTAGAGCCGTGACAGTGGAGGAAGCGGATGGTGATGAAGAAGACCAGCGGTAGAATTTCTCCCTGTTCCTAGGCCCTCGGTGGGTTTGGCCGTGTTTTACGTGAAGCGGGATTTGACAGCACAGCACGTCTTGCGTCCGGAGTTAGGTTAGGTCTGTACTTTGTTCTTGCGAAATGTCATCTATTAAGCAAACCCGTTGGGTTTCGGGGCCCGCATGTGCAGTGGCTCTGCTCCGTCGCCTTTTCGTCGACGGCCTCTTGAGATCAGACCCTAAGTACCTACCTATACTATATAAGTGCACAAAAGCACACACTGCCATACCCTTGACACACCGCGTTAGAGGCAAGCATGGAAACTAATTCAGGTAGGTGTGTGTGCTATCCAGTTCTACGAGACCCGCCCGCCGTGTGTGCTTGCCGTTCCTGGGCTATTGAAGTAGTGGTGCTGCCGCAAATTCACTTCTAGAAATGGAAGGCGGCCATCACTTCGAGAGGGTGGCGCTTGATCATCGCCTCCGACTTCACTCGTGTCTGTCTTTATTTTACCTTGGAATTGAGATCCCTCGCCTGGGTTTTCACTTTAGCACGTAACATACCCTATCATTCCTTCATTGATAGCCCCCTCAGCCATTATCCGGTCAGCACCTTCAACGCCAGACTACATCACTTCGCCGCTTCTTGTCTCTCCCCAACCAGGCGCCGTTCCCCTTTATCCTTGCGACCCCCTTCACTCACCTAAAAACAAAGACCACGACGACCGTTTTTAACCGAAGACCTGTCAACACAACACACCCACCCGCCACATACAAAACTCCCAGGAAGCCCCGGACCAGCACAATTTTAAGCGCAGTCACCACTCCCTGGTTCAGCCCCTCAACAGCAACCCTGCGCTCCTACCATCCCGAACGTCGGCCCCGTCGCCCGAACGCCGGGAGAATAGGTACTGTAAGTGGTCCCGTGAAGAGAAACGCAGAGACGGGCCTAATGTACTTGACAGCCCAACCTTGAACCCCTCTTGACATGGAGGCAAACCAGTCTCTACCACCCTCTGCCGATGCTCTGGGTACCCACACCGAACTCAACTGTCCCTCTTCATCACAGCAGGATGCCCCAGCCTAGGGAGGAGGGCCCGATGTTGGAGGAAGTGGTGAACAACAGCATGGTCAAGCGCTGCCTAAGGCTAATGAGCTCCGCCACGGCCACTCAAACAAAAACAAGGGCGAGATGGGAAGCGGTGCAACTGTCATGACCGGCAAAATAGATCGAAAGAGGCAGCAAACTGAGAGAAGAATTCGGGTTACCCAAGCCCATGAAGCAGCAAGGATCATTGTTGCCTCGTGCCGGGCCGGTCAACGGGTTGAAAAACGCAAGGAACAAGGACGAGAATTGGCTAAGCGTGGTATCCGCCGCCGGATACGACTCTACCCTCGGGGACAAAAACAAGCCCCAGATATGACACCAGCTTTCGGCAAGCTTTGGCGGACAGCAAACCATTTTCCAGACGAGTACCGAAAAATATGGGGTGGAAAAGTTCCTGGAGGGTTGGAAATGAAGGAGGAAGGGGAAAGATGGTCGGACCGCGGTGATGAACAGGCCGCCTCTAAGGGGACGAGAAGTAAGGGAATGAAAGAAGCGATAGCACGGTGGGCTAAACACAAGTTCAAGTCCCCTCGACATATGGAAGAGGGCAGACCATATTGGCCCCTTGAGGACTCCCCAGAGGCCAGCGAGGTCTGGCGAGATGGTGGCAAAGGCTTGTCAAAGGATGGCCCTTCTTCAGATGTTACGGCATACGGGGTTGCGGATCACCATGCGACAAACAATGGCGCCACCGCTGTAGGCCTGGACTATACACCTGTGCAACACCAAGGGACTTCCACAGCGAGCAGCCATCAGCTAGCACAGGGCGATAGCGGTGACACTCAAACGCCAATGCAGGGAAATCCCAAGGCTGGGGTCTACCGTCTGGAACTTGGAGCTAAAAATTGCCCCCCACCGCCGCTTGATGGTTTAGGGAGATCTTCATCCAGAAGTGATCATTTGGGCCGACCAACCGACATACCCGAGCCGACGGCTGTCCATACTCGGGGCAGAGACAACCCCTTCTCGAACCCTTAGGAGGGCCAAGCATGGAGCATGAACTTCCTAGACCTCGACTCACACCTCGGGGGGGATCACTCAGCACCTGCGGGCCCCCAAGCCGATCTAGAAAGAGACCAAGCCGCGCCTGATGGCCACACCGAAGCTGCCCTCCAGCCACCTATCTACCCCATACTCTCTGTTTACAGGGCCTCGACGGTTCCTCCTCCCCCTCCGCCCACAGCCGCCACCCTATATTCCCAATCGCAAGAAAACTCCGATACTAGGGCGCATGGCGGGCCGCAAAGTTCTAATCTTGCGCCGAGCAGGCGTGGAGGCTCAAGGCGTCACGCCCTCGTGGCATCGGTCCGACGCATGCTACACCGGGCGAAAAGATAAACCTGGAAGGGGTTGGCATGACATTCTAGGGCATTACCCCGGCACTCGATCACTGGTGTGAGGCCTTCTTTTTTTCCTATTTTGGTTGTTGTACCGTTGTGCTTACCATGGGTGGGTGGGTTTACTGCGGTGGGATAACTATGTCAATAGCGTCGACAAGCGTATTCTGTATTAATGTGACCTAGCGAACACATTGACTGCTTCTTGTTTTCATCTCAGGGGTAATGAGAAGTGCTTGTGTTGTGGCCACTCGTGACCGTCCCGACAACCATTTGTGGCGCTTGAGTCTTGCACATGTCCGTGTCCTCACCCTCTTCGATGCCTCATTCCCGCCTAACGGGGTTCTATCCCCATATGTACACGCTGTTGGCTCATGTCCCGCACACTTTGGGATGCAGCGTGTGAACTTTATCATGTAAACAAACCGTGAGTTTGGTAAGAGATGTGAATTGTGGTGAGGGGGGCGATTGGTGCGATATAGTGATGGATCGTCGGCGGCCTTCTCATTGTATGGGCAAAGAATGGGACGTAGCGAAGCATTTCTGCACTTTGCTTTGCTTCTGTATTTACCAAGGGCGTGTCGGGATGGGCTAAGTGTGTTGAAACAGTAATAACCGCAAGGGTTGGCAAAACGAAACTCGTCAGAAGCACAAGCTTCGGGGCCGCTCCTCACATCTCACATTTCCATTTAAAGGATAAGAAACAGAAAGGGAAAACGCCGAACCAAGAAAACGGTGTATTCATCAAGCCAGTGCTATCCAAAAACTCCGGTGGTATCTCAGCCTTAATAAACAAGATATCGAACCGCTCCCTGCGCATAGGAAACCCGGTTTCAGTTTCTGTAGTGTGTCATATGCCTTTTCGTGAGAGGCGCATGATCTGTAGCCATCAAGCAGATAGGAAGCAAGTGCAATTCCTCCAGTAAGAACCGCGCCGATACTGACTGACTGACCGTGGATATCATCCTTTTTTACCGTATCCAGACCAATTCCCCAGCTAAAATCGCTTAGAAAAACAAACGTACCGCCTCCGAGTGCTGTTGCTCATTCGGATTATTCGGAAAGGAAACCATCAGTAAGTCGGAAATGAAGACAAAAATGGAGATAGAGGTAGCGTAGCTGGGAGAGCAAAGCAGAAAAAGGAACTGTTACAAAACCGGTGAAAACAAGATAATAAAAAGGGGGGGGAAAGAAAAGAAATAAGAATAAAATAATAGTCAATCCATCAAGAAAGGGAAAGAAAGCCAAGGAAATGGGAAATAAAATTGCCAGGTGCCAAGGTGTCAAACCGACCTGACGCTATATTGTCATCGTGTCTGAAGATGTTGAAAAGAAGAAGTGAAAATGATTAGTCGAGGCACATGCGGGGTATTGCCTTCGTCTGCTCGCTCATCCCGAACTCTTCACGGATCTCGTCCATCTCTCTCTAGCACGGAGACTCCCAGTGAACCCGCCAGAATCACTGCGGGCCTTCCCCTCGCCTCCAATAATGGCCGAGTTCGCCTCGCCCCACACACTACCCCCTTCGTTCTCGTCGTTTCGGCCGACCTCAAGGGGCATCCGCGCGACAGTGCCAACACCAGCTGGAGTAACGATGGGCTTCCTATTATTTGGTGACGGCAGCAGTGGGAGGAGAAACGGGGTGTCGTCCCGCGGCGTGATGGGGGTGTCGAAGCGCTCAAAACCCTGTGTCGCAGCCTCATCGTGCCGCCAATAGTACAGCACCTCCTCTTGCCAACGGCGGAGGTTGACGACGCGGAACTCGCCCTCACAAACGGCGAGCATGAGTTCTGCTTCAACAGCCGAAGTGCGCAGGCGGTGGATCAGCCACTGGTTGATGAAATCGGGCTTGCTGTCGAATTTGGTCATGAGGGTGCCAATTCCTAGCTCCTTCATGCACTCGGCTCGGCGTAGGGCGCTGACTGGGTCGTCTTTGGGGAGCTTGAGAGCTTGCTCAAGTGCCTGGAGCGGTGTGAGTTGGGCCAGGACATGCGACGGGTTGGACAAGAGGATGGGGAAGCGCGGGTGGGCAAGCGAGGCAGAGGGGTTTGGTGGAAGCTCGATGCTCATATTGCCATCCTCCGGATGTAGCGCCCAATCTGAGCAGCCAGAGAAGATGTCTAGTTCCTCCCGAAGGGAGGGGTGCTTTCGCATGACGCCCCTTTTGATACAGAGGGCCCGCAATCGGGATAGAGTCTCTGAGCTGATGTCGAGTTCATTCTGGGCGAGCTCGTGGGCCGAGTCATAGCCATGGAGAAACTCCAGCTCGTCTGTTGTAACGGCAATTCCGAACTGGTGTTCAAATTCGGTGGCGTCGGTCGGAACTTTGGCGAGTAACGATCGAAGGGAGAGAAGGTCCTCTTCGCTCATCTGATTTCCTTGGCCTTCACGGCCCCGTTTCCGAAGTATTTCAATCTCAAGGTCGTATAAAAGCTTATCGCGGCGCATTTCAATGTCCTGTACCTGCTCCAGAGCCAGCCGATGATCGCTGGCGGCTTGGACAAGGTCGTCGTACAAGAAGTGAACGTCCTCATGGAGAGACCCCGATATTCCTAAGAGGGCTTCGGGGGTTGATGACGCAGCGGCACTTTCGGCATCTGAGGCCTCACTGTCCCACCCCCGAGTATATGGTGCAGGTGGCACTCTTGGTATCGTCCCTATCGGTGGTGGCGGGGGGATTTTGGGCGGTTGCGCCGTATCAAACCCACCAGGCGTGAACCGCGGTGCCCTCGTCTCTATGATGCGAAGCCTAGACTCCTCTGCTTCCAGCTCGGACTCCATGGCTTCGAATGCTACCTCAGCCGTGTAGTACGCGTCTCGACTAGCTTGCATCTCATTCAGTTTCCCCTCGAGTACATCTATGGGGATCATAGCGACGCCAGTCTTTGACGCCAAGTGAGGACGAAGGATTTGCATAAAAGAGTTGTCTATGCTGTCCATCTGGTGTCTGAGTTGCCGTAAATCCCTTCTCTTGTTCGTGATTTGGTACCGCAGTTGCCGAATGCACCTCTGTTTTGCATCGGCCATCTCCAAGCGCTCGGTCCGCGGCCAACCGGCACTATGCAAGCTTCTGGTTGCTTCATCGTCATCCATGTCTTCTGATTCGGAGTCGGAATAGGCCGGGTCTAGGTCCCGAAGGTTTGGCAGCGGCGGACGCCTTTGAACTGGCCCGCTTGGGGCCGATGGGTGCCATGGAGGGGGGAGGAATCGAGGGGCACCTAGCGGTTGGGGCGGTGGGGGCCGGGGGTACGCCAGCCGGGGGGAGTAGTAGCCATCGTCGTCGGAGTAGGTGTCGGAGCCCGCTGGGGAGGAGGTGACTGAGTGTTCTCGCTTGCTTGACACGGTGAATTCGTCCGTGTTGTTGTGATTATACGGTCGATCTCCGGGTTGGGGTAATTGTTCCTCTCCGCACAGAAGCTCGAGAGACCACCGTGCCCGTGGTGAGCTGTGTCCTCCGTCTCGATTGGCAAGCTTTACGCGTGCCAAATCTGCCCGAACGGTCGGGGGCAACGAGGTCGAGCGTTCCATTTGATAGGTAGAGGTAGGGACGTCGGCGAGATCCTGGTCGGGCCCATCCGTGTGAGAAGCCGTATGTCGAACCAAGGGAGGTAAAGACTGGGGAAGGGTTGGAGGCGCCATACGGGCTGGGACAGCGCATCCACTCTCGGGCTGCTCCCCGGACAGCCGGAGCCATCGAGAGATGCGCGAGGCTGACGGACGCTCGGGCGCGCATGCGAAGGCGACTAGTTAAATCCCAAGTGAAGGATGTTTCGCCGCGTTGGTGTTGGCGATCGAGGCGTGTGTTGTTCGTTGCTTCTTCGTTGCTTGTTCGCGGTCGGGTTCGTCGCGAGGTTCGTCGGGAGGTTTGTCGTGAGGTGCGTTGGGAGGCACGGAGTTGAGTTGGTGAAGTAGGGCTGGCGACACGTTTGAGCTGGCACACCTTGACTGGGATGGGGAGGAGGGGGCTTGTGCCTCCATGGAACGGGAGCGTTAGGTCGTCATTTGGGGTAAGGTACGGAACAGGCTCTAGGCTGAGTGGATGGGCCGCCAAAGATTACAGCACTTCGCTGGACGTCAGGGATATTGGATACAATCTGATTGGCTTCCTGGGGCGCGCATCTGCCCATCTCTGCACAATGTGCTGTTTTCTTGTCGATTCAAGTTGCGGATGAAGACGAGAGCGCCGTCGGACTGAACGACTAGCTGTTCTCTCACCGAGGTGCCATTGCGCTCAAACCCCAAAGGCCGTTCGGAAACCAGGACTGAGGCACTCGACTTTCACATTCCTCCATGGAGCCCATGGGCGTGGGCCCGTCACTCGTGAATGTAAGGTACCTCATGTAACTTCAGTACCGCACCGCGTCGACATGGACGAGTTTGTGAGGAGCCGTAGGCCCAAAATAACGGAGGAAGAAGGGCCGGCACTCATCCAAGAGGAGACCCCAATTCATTGGCACCTCCAACAAAGGCTAAACCTCCGTGTATTTAGTCGTTTGGTGATGTTATATTTTGTGTCATCCGTGAGTCGTGTGGAATGTTCCTGGAAATGACGGTACCGTAAGGTAATATGAGGTTGGGCCAGGGTCCAGAACCCGCGGGGATGCATCAGCCTGTGCCCGACCCTTGGGGCCCGGCAGCCCAGCGGACCCGGGCCGGTCCCCAGCCCAGGGCCCACGACTCCAACAGGGATAGTCGACAGGGGATTTTGGGTTGTGGGCCCCACCACCAAAACCAATCCGGACTCTTCCCAGGGACCTTCGACAAAATGCAAAGCTACAGAGTAGTTATTCGTAGACTATAAAAACACCTATAGTTAGAACGGTAGGGTTCGGTACCCAGGGGTGAAACGGTATGTAGCTGGGTATTTGGCGGCGTCGGCGATCAAAGCCCGTCCCATTGGAACGTAGAAGCCCGAAACTTGGAAGAACCAAAACAGGGGAATCGGGGAATCGAAGCGCGGTGCCCCGCTGACCGACCCGCGTCAAGCTCCAACACATAGGTATGTACTATGTACGTTAAAAAGTATTTCACAAGATTGCCGACCAGACTCCTCAGCTGGAACGTATTTACATAGTCGCGTGGGCGAAGTTGTACTGGAGCGCTTCTTTGGAAACTAGGTACCTTTACACTACTTTCCAGAAGAATCCTCGGAAATCGGATCCTGGGGTCATGATGGTTGAGAGGTAGTTACTTGATAGTGGGGTCAACCCCCTCATTTTCAACGTCGAAGTCCTCTCCGCTTTTGGTGAGCGGCTCGATTGCCGTCGCCCCACAATCCTCGCCCAATCCATCCCACGCCGACAACGACTTTTCCAAGGTGGGGACTGGAATGCACCTGGCTGATTTGGGGGGTTGCTGTCTGGCGTGCGACTCGTCAATAACGGCCCGCGACGGCAGGTGCTCCGCCGGGGGGTGTGAGCTCAACCCCTCGATGCCCACTCAAATGTTGCACCCTAATGCACTCTTGTGTGGCTCGAGTGTGGGTAGGGTGAGCGAACAGGCCAAGTGCCCCTCCTTCTCCTCCCGAATGTTTCCCGTCTCTGCCGTTTCTTCATGCGGGCCAGCAGAGTGGAATGCGAGTGTTCTGAACTCGCGAAGCGACCAAACGGGGAGGTAGCCAGTATCCGCGGGCCTAGCACTAACCCTTGGAGGGGGGCAACCCGCTTACGTTTAAGAGGATGTAGAAGAAGAAGCGCCGAGCAGGATACGGCCAAAAGAGACGCTCAACGAGGATTCTAGCCTCATCTCAAAAGTGCTTTTCTTGTCAGCGCGTCCCCGCCTCTGTCCTCTCTCTAACCCCCATGTCCACTTGGCCCGCTACTGCTAGCCTCGTACCGACTACAACTTACAGGGCTGGTGTCGTGGGGTTCTGCAGCCACGTCTCGACTTGCTACATCTGTCTCCATGCGACTCGGGACTGAGAAGCTGCCTCCGTCATACATACCTGCAGCCACCCATCCAGCGCGCCATTCAGCCGGTGACGACCAGTTCGGGTCCCGCCGCGAATGAGGGATCGAACCGTGTGTCACGAGGATTCCCCACCACCAATGACAGCCGCATTTAATCTACTTCCAGCAACAACCAGCAACCTTCTCCAGAGTAGCTCAGACCTCCAGCAAGCTGCAACTTTGCTGGCACTCGAAACCGCGTTGTGCTGCCCACCACGCCGACCCGGACTTGGACCGTGAGGCTCTGCTGCGACGCCATCGAAGCTCTGGGGGAGGAGGGGTACCTTATCAACTGCGCCGGCCTTCTCGAACCGCGGCAATTCCAATCCTCGTTTCCCGGCTGCTCACTCCCCCTTTTTCCACCCCTTTTTCTTACCTTGAAGGGGTTTGCGGCGCCGTCTCAAAAGGCGCTGTGTGCTGGGTGTGGGACCGAATATTCAGTTTACAGACTACCGAATACTAATATCGAGGCGATTGACACACCAAAACAAGACACTCGGCGTTATTTATCAAGAGCGCCTAGCTCCGGTACCGATATATCTCTTGTTTGCTGTTTGATGTCGCCCCCTCGCCCGCCTTGGCTGCCACTGTAGACAATCGCCCCGAATCAGGGCCTTGGGGCTGGCAACGGTGCCATAATGGAGCCCGGTTGGAGCGACTGGAGCGCATGGGAATGGGATGTTCCACACGCCCGCTGGTGGAGAGCAAGACGAGATCCCCAGGGTACTAAACCACCTGCCTTTCCCCCCCTATCTCCCCCATTCCCCTTCCCAAATGTGAAATCTCTTGCCCTTCCGGCACAGTGTTGACCGTCCCGCTATCCAGGCATCGTGCACTATGATTATCAACACCCGGACGTCGCCCCGCGTGGGAGTATTCAGGGGCTAACCGAGGCATTTAACAACGTCCAGCTCGGTGGACATCAGCAATACCAGCAAGATCCGTATTACCACCAGAACCAAGCTTACACTCACAATGCCCCGCTTCCTACCGGAGGGGGCGTCGTTGTGGGCGGTAGTGCCTATGGCGCACCCTCTGCGCCATCCGACCTCACGTCGTACCCTAGCGGGAAGGGAACGGCCGCTGCTAGCAGTACATATCCGGAATCCCGACCAAGAGAGAAGAAGCATAGCTCCAGGAAGCACCGGTCAAGAACCTCGCAAGGCACAGGGACCAGGGGCACCCAAGAGCCCTCAGTACCACATGCTGACTACTCCTCATCATACCAAAACACGAGCACTGCTACAGCTAGTTCTGGCCATGACCCCAGGCCCCAAGCCGAAATTGATAACCAGCCGGAAGATGATGAGAGTACTGCCGAACGTTATACTTTTGGCCAGGGTAAGCATATGGCTATGTCCACGCCACGCCTTGTGTTGCTAACGGAGGTTCAGGGGCACCAGCCGGTACCGAAAAGGAAGGCACAATGGTTCCGGAGTCTGGCAATGTTGAATATACGTCGGCAGATGACCGCGGCCCCGATATGCAGTCGGCGGGCCAGGGTGAGATGCCTTTTTCCTTGACGGAGTTGGCGAGCTTCCCTGCCGAGCTTGATATCTAATCATCCTCGCCTTAGGGTCCGATGAATCACCCCTGTCAAGCGATCAGCTTCAAGACTTTCTCTCACAGACAAACCCATATCTTACCGGCGCTCCCGACCCGTCATATCCAACCGGTGAGCCCTCCTTAGTAACCGTGGGGCACGACTACCCTCAGTACGACCACGAAATCAACGCCGGCCGCGACACGCCGAGAGCGTCTGCTCAGCCACGGACCCATTGGCCACCATATCACGAGCCGACGGCGGCGAGGAATCAAGACGGCGAGGACCAGAGTAGCCTGACTGGGAGCACCAACACCGGGAGAGAACCCTTTCAGACTGATGGTGTGTAATGATGCACCCTCTGGGCCGTGAAGACCAAATTTGCTAAGCCATCTAGGATATACGGTGGAACCTTCCTCTCGTTTTCAACCTGGCGAGGTGAGTCCTATTTTTCCTGCTTCCCCCCCCGACTCAGACAAGAGGAATTGACCCGAGTGTTGGGCCATTAGATCTTTAAGATTGTATGGTACGAGCCTCTTGGCGCCGGGGCACCGGCAAGGAGTGATGTGATGACCCAGAGAATTCGCGTCAATACCGGTGGAGAGCCGTATCATCAAGGCCTGCGCCGTTTCATTGTAGTGGCAAACGACGAAGGGCACTGTACCTGCGTGTAAATATCACCCCCAACCACCTTTAGACCACTCCTCAGATGCGGGTTTCACTGACTAGCCGGCATAGACCGATCTTAACATACGAGCGCCAGGCGTGCCTCAAGAAAGGAGTCAAGGCTGCGAAGCATGGTGTCATCCATCAGGTGGGAAGACGGCCCCGGACACTCCCAGGAGAGCCCCAACTGGGATTCCCGCCGGTGCGGGTTGAGCTCTATGAGAGGACCGAGCAACTCGTCAAGGAGTCCCGCGTCAATTATGCGAAGCTCACCACAGTTGAACACAACTTCCGTGTTCTCTTCATCGGCAGAGTCCTCCCCGACGACTTCGAGAATATTGTCATCCAGGCGATCGATGTTTGCTGGGGAAAGAAAAAGCGGCGATAAAGCGGACCGGCTCTCAAAGGTCGGTCAGCAAGCCGTCGCCCGCCGATTCCCGCGCATCAAAGCGCGGCATACAACGTTTTTCCTCTTTATTTGTTTTCTATTTGGCCTTCACTGTTTCCCAACCGAACTGCTACTCTGCCTTGACCGGACGCCGGCTGGTGGTTCATCAAAATTGCATACGTTCTGCGGCTTACGCAGGTTCTACCTTCTTCCTGCGCTGTCTGGGCCTTTGAATAAAGCTCCAAGATGTGTCTGGAATCATTTTTGGTTCGAAAAGGGGACACATTTCACATTTACCTAGCTCTTTTCTCGCATCTCCCCTGTTCTTTCTGCTTACATACCTTGTCTTCCCCTGCTTGGAGTATTTGTTTTATCTCCTCAGTACGGCCGGCCGGTACGTTACCACACCGGTCTATCTGGTGTGCATTTTCTTTACATGTTACAGGCCGTCATTGATATCCTATTCGTGGCCGTTACAGTTATTGTTGTTGATGATGATGATGTATGAGTTTATGAGCTTTTTTTCAAGACCTGCCGGAATACAGTCATATGTGGGGTAAAGGGGGGAGGGAGGTGGATGGCTTGGAGCCTGTAGGCTCAAGGAAATCAAAACTCTGCACCGGTCAGCAATCATATATTTGTGTGTCTTCTGTTTGGGGTACTCTTTAGGTGTTTTCTCCCGCCTCTATCCACTCGAACCATATTTTGATGATCACATTTGTTTACCTGACATTTGTGCCGACCAAGTATCGATTTGTCCTTGACTCCCGACAGCCTGTGAATAAAACAGACAAGGCGATTCCGCGCATCGCAACCGGCGATGAGCTTGAAGTGCTGATGAAAGACTCCGGCCGCGGCCTTGCCATCCCTTCGGCTTCATTCTTATGAGACTCCACTCTCAACGCCCTGCTATCGTTGCGGGGGTAATCACCTAACTATAGAGTGTTTCCGCGGGTTTCCGCGCCAGGCGCCGCTACACTACAATCCTCACATTGACACCCTCGCACCCCTCCCATCCTCGGTCGAGGCCGCGTGCCGTTGAGGATGGCGAGACCCATAAAATACGGATATCAGCTAACAGTGAGCTAATAATTCACAGCCTGGGTATCCCCCCACCTCCCGCACGTGAGTAGATGAGGGGGCTCGCTATGGCCAAAAAAAAGCGGCAGACCAAGTCCCTGGATAACTTACTTTGCTACAAAAGTGAAAAAAAAAGACAAAAAGAAGAACCCCCAAAAAAGTGAAAGAAGATAAAAGAATAAATCTATCTAGTGACAAAAGACAAAAAAGAGTAAATCAATCAAAATTTACCAAGATTTGATCGAATGTTGATGGATTGGACTTGAGCTATCTGTTTGAGTGTGCCGCTTGTTTTGGCCACAGCGAGGGGGGGTAAGGCCCGGGGGGGTCCTCCGGGCGGAGAAATCGGGGCGATGATAACGAGGGAAGCATCAAAAATCATCGAGACACCCGGCTCCTGGGACCATAGGCCATGGGGAGCGTAAGGCAGCTGATTTAAATGTACACGTTTACACGTTTGTACAGAGTAATTGCCCGTTAAAATTATTTAGAATTGTCGTTGAAGACGGTGATAATTGCGCTATTTGGCGGGTCGGGAACGGAGACTCCTACTATGTAGTGTGGAATCGAAAGGTTGATCCGAAGGGCAAAGCTGGGCTCGGCTTGCCGAAAGACGGGACGGTTGGGGTGCGGGAACCCCTGTCCACTTGCCGCCAGTGCCGCCGCAACCCGCGGGCCTTTGGGTACGAAAACCGGCCGCGCCGGGTCATTCGCGCAGAAAACCTTTTAACATCAACGTTAGCTGACTTAGCCGCGTGAGCCACGGGGGGAAGCTCCCTTAGATTGAATACCCCACGGACATCTGGCTCTTCCTCTCAACATCTCGACCTTGTCGCCGTTCCCACGCCCTATAAATCCCGCCATTTCGTTATCAGATCAACAAATTTGAGAATTGCCCGCCCGAGCCGCCGATTCGGGAAAAGTTAGTGGGGTTGATTGATAATTCTGATTGATTAGATATGGGGCGTCATACTGTGTCCATCATCGCTACCGGGCACAGTGCCATACCCTCGGCCAAAGGGCCGCCGACGTCGGATCCGCTGTGAGAACCCGAGAACCGGCCCTGTCCGACTCGCCCATCGTAACTTCATGCTTAAAACTCTTTACAAATTACGCCCTCACTTTGGGCCTAGGTTACGATAATTCATCCCGTGCACCTCAAAATACACCTCCTCAAGGCCTGGGTAGAGGCTGGGTTCAAAGCCTTCCATGGCTCCGGGGGGGTGGCAAATTGCCAGGCCACATTGGAAAATTCAAAATGACCTGAGATATCGGGCGGGCTTCGTAACTTGGAACACTTCACTAGTAGGCCCAAACAAGGGACACGCTGGGGCCGGGGGACACTTGGAGACTTGCTAATGCTTAATATAATGCTGATGGGTTTGGTCACTTGTCCACGGAAGAGCGACAGTTCAAGACAACGGCGGATTAGTCTCAATTGACTCAGTTATTACAGAGTGGATACCCTTCCCTGTGAATGCGCACATGGTGACCCATGGATGCACGCCTCCGCCCCCTGCTCAGGTAAGCAGGTTGGCAGGCACTTCTCGCACTGTACATGTCTCTTGGCAGCCCCCTAAAACAGCCTGCATCCTCTTGTTGCCAGAGAACTCCCAGTCAGCATTGGATTTGTCCACACCAACTCCGACTTACCTGCACCCTTCACCTAGCGTGCTTGAAAATCGGCGGCGGATTTTAGAAACCTCCCTTTGCGACGCCAGACAATAACCGAAGTCCCCTCGGCTTCGATAGAGTACAATTCGGTCATGCGCTGAGGTCTCTGACTTCGCCCTCCCTCCACCAAAATCTTTTCTTTCTGCCACGCCTACGCCATCTGCACACCCTTTCACCGCGATCTTTTCCGAATAACCGGCCACGACCTAAACCAATGGCAACACACATCGACCGGTTCCTTGTGGAACATTCGGCTGCGAGCATTCCCGAAGAGCCTCGCCCTGGGCCATCTACTGCCCCCTCGCTGACATACTCCGATTCATCTGATGAGCACGAGGTTGAAGAGCCCCGCCTCCCAGAGTCCCGCCGCCGGCGCGCATCCACGCGTCTCATCGCCCAGAGCCCGGCCGATGTGCAACGGATCACAGGCGAAACCACAACTCAATTGATCCGCCGGTGCTGCGGCGGGGGTTGCTGCCTCGGTTCCGGCCCACCCAGGAAAGCTGATGTTGAAGTTGAAAAAATCGAGCTACCGGACAATAGTGCATACCGGTCATTATGTCTCAAGGTCGACCAGATTCCTGCGGCACTGAACGACATTTACGACCTCCCCGAGCAGACAACCTTCTTGCAACCGCTCCGCCGTCCATCCAGCGTTCCGTCGCCGACCGACTCCAGTATCTCGCTGGCTACGGACACCCTTTCCCCGACTGTTGGCGACATTGATAAATCACTGCAGTCCTTGGCTTTGGAAGATCTTGATACCCAGATACAACCCCCCTCGTTTGTTCAGCCACATCCTCCACACCATGTTTTCCCTGCGCGCATTCACAGCGCCCGGGAATTGACCCGCCCTGGGGCCGAGAAGCGAACATTTCACTTTGACCTCGACGTCACAAACTATCCCGAAGGCGAGGACGTCGATTTCAAAGTCGGTGGCGCAATTGGTGTCTCTGCGCCCAATGAAGCGACGATGGTCGAAGAGGTTCTTGACCTCCTGCTGGTGCCCCGATTTCTTCGCGACAAGCCGGTCCTACTACGCACCACCAAGGGGAGGTGGCCGACCGTTTGGGGTGACGACCAGGCTCGCGAGTTGGTCACAACTAGACGAGATCTGCTCACTTGGTGTTCCGACATACAATCGTACCCGCCGACGAAGCAAATACTTCGTCTTCTTGCCGAGCACGCTACGGACGCAAACGACCGCAAAATACTCCTGTTCCTCTGCTCGGCCGAAGGCCAGGGCGTGTTTTGCGATTTTCGCACCGGCCCCCATGTCTCACTCGTGCAGCTTCTCCACGCCTTCCCGAGCGCCAAGCCGCCTCTCGACCACCTCCTCTCGGTCCTGCAGCCCCTGATGCCCCGCTTTTATTCGCTTTCGAACGATCCCCATGAGTCGTTCTTGACGCGAGATGGGAAACAACACCGGCTGATCGAAATCGCTGTCACGGTCCATGAAACCGCCGACTGGCGCTCGGGATCCCGTTCAGGTATTGGTTCCGGCTTCTTCCAGCGCCAAGCGCTCAAGCTTCTCGCCGCGCAGGAACGGGGCGAAAAGGACGCAGAGTTTTACATCCCCATGTTCAAAGGCCTCATGGCAAACCCGCTCGCTAAGCAGTTCGTGACGGATGGGCCCATGCTGTTGATTGGCGCAGGCGTTGGCATTGCGCCCTTCCGAGGCTTTGTGCAACGCCGCCTCAAGACCGCGAACTGCGCCAACAAGGTGTGGGTTCTTCAGGGCATCCGTGACTCGCTCGTCGACGAGCTGTACAGCGGCGAGTGGGGTGTGCATGAGGATGAGGTCAAGAAGGTGGTCCAGAGCCGTCGGGGCGAAGGCCGCTACGTCCAGGAGGAGGTCAAGGCCCAAGCCGAGCTAGTGTGGTACATTATCAACTCGGTCGACGGCCGCGTTTTTGTTTGTGGCAGCAGCAAAGGCATGGGTGAGGGTGTGGAGAAGGCACTTGTTGAAGTAGCGATGGAGAGGGGCAGCCTGGAGCGCGAGGAAGCGCAGACCTTTTGGGATCTGAAGAAGGAGGCCGGGCAGTATATTGCGGAGACCTGGTGATGGGCTGGTTCGAGCTATACATGGTCATGGACATGATGGGACATTATGGAGCGGCCGCAAGAAAACTGGGGTCAAGGCGTTTGGGCGCATGCATTTGCAACGGAGCAGGGCAGGTTTGATTTTTATACCATTGGCTCGGGCCGGAACGAGGCACGACGGGTCCTGCCGTACACCAAGTCGGGTATCGGCTGACCACTGGATCCATTATGTATCCACACTTCGGAGTGTTTTTCTTCATTCTTCCCCCCATGAAATATCCCTCAAAAGATCGTGGGTGCATGGGAGTTGGTCTCAGCGGTAATATGCAGCGTCTACACAAAGGTCAGAAGTTCATTATTTTTCATGTTTAAGACCGAGAGTTCTACACGCTCTCTTTATGTTTTGCTATTTAGATTTGTGCCATGGACAACGGTTCATCTAAAGTGTGATCGCTTAGCCAGGAGTTCCTGTTCCTCTAACTAACGTGAACACGGCTTGACATGTCTATGCAGATGTGAGTCCAAGATGTCCGGGGGGGTCTGGCGGTGGCCAGGCTAGGTCCACAACACCACAGTCTAACGGGGATGATTTCCGAAACAGGCCCGAGGTATCCGTATTAGTGCTACAAATTTGAATAAATCCTGACTCGCTCGTTTCCAAGCCTGAGATGTTGGTGCTAATTACAAATTTGAGGGCAGGTTATGACTCGATGTTTCCAAGACTGTTGGTGCTACTATGTAGGTTTTGCCATCCTCTCCTCAGCTGGATGGAGGATGCCCAGAAATTTCAAAAGCTGACAACATCCAGAGGAAACTGATTAATCAAGTAGGACAGCATCTGCAGGCGGATCTTGGCGAAACGCACCCCCCTTCCAGAAGGCGAAGAAAACCTGTCTCCTAGAATGCGCACAGCCAATGGCGGCCCGCCCGCTTCCCGCAAATGGACATCCTCGCGCTCGCGGCTGAGGAAGGCCGACCGCGCGCGCTCCCCAAATCGCTTACATACGCAGGATGCAGGTCCCGTTTTCCGCATTCGTCTTGCGCGCGCGGCCAGGGTTAGTTCCCAAGCGGGTTTTCCAATGGAGGCTTGGGATCAAACGGCGAAACGACGAATATGGAGCCGCGCGTGGAATTCCGAAGATTCAGAATGAGCAGGATGCTTTCTCAGGAATTGCCCAGGATGGGGCTTGCTTGCTCAATGCAGGAAGGAAGAATTGCAAAATCTCGGAGTTGTCTAACTTGAATCTTCACTTATATAAATCCACCTACTTCCTCACTCTAGCTGTGTTGTATTCCTATCACAAACCATCTTGACTTCTCATCCATCACTCTTAACCGTGCCATCGAGCCAGTCGCTGTATCGTTTAGTACCTAGCAACCGCCGATTACATGCAAAGAATTTTCAGATCCGTAACTCGAGCCCTCCGCAGTCCCCGCCCTCTCCCAGTCCAACCTACCCAGTCCATCTCCCGCCAACTGAGCACTACCACCGTCAAGATGGGCAGCATCCCTACCGCTCCCGCCACCAAAGGCAATGCCGACAGCTTCCTCTCATTCATCAAGGAGCGCCGGTCCGTATATCCCCTCAACAAGAAGCTCCCGATCGACACAGCACGGGTGCAGGACATCATCACGGAGTCACTGCAGCACGTCCCCAGCAGCTTCAACTCACAGTCGAATCGGACGGTAGTGCTGTTCGGTGCCGAGCACGACAAGTTCTGGGATATTGCGACTGAGATCCTACGGGCCATCGTACCGGCCGATGCGTGGGAGCCCACCGGCAAGAAGATGGCCATGTTCAAGGCTGGCGCCGGCACCGCGCTGTTCTTCGAGGACCAGACCGCTGTCGAGGGTCTGCAGGCCCGTTTCCCACAATACGCCGACCGGTATGTTCCTATCACCAAGCCCCCCCTTCACCCTTTTCCATTGACCTTTTTTGGTACTTGAACTTGACTGACTCCGAACCCCATTCGTGCAGTTTCCCTCCCTGGGCCGGCCACTCCAGCGCCATGCTACAGTTTGTCATCTGGACCGCTCTCGAGGCAGAGGGCCTCGGTGCCAACTTGCAACATTATAACCCGCTTGTTGATGCCCGGGTTGTCGAGGAGTGGGGGGTCCCTGCTACCTGGAAGCTGACTGCCCAGCTTGTGTTTGGCGGGCGTGGTACCGAGGAGCTGGCTGAGAAGACCTTCCAACCACTGGAGGAGAAGCTCAAGGTTTTTGGCGCCTGAGGGGGTCTGGGGTGCTGGTGAATTGGTGGCATTGCAAGGAGTCAAGGGATGTCCGGGTAGCATGTTTTCGCGGTCTCTACCGACAAATCAATCATATAAATTATTCAGTGATTAAATACTTCCTAGCTCGATGTTAGCTTGCTTGTCCTGACTCTGTATATCGTGAACGGACATGGCACACCTTAGAATATGACACACCTTAGAATATGACACACCTTAGAATATGACACACCTTAGAATATGACACACCT